GTAGGAAACACCTGATAGAAACGATTCCCTGATGATGCACACTGTGGATTTTAGCCTCATCTGATTGGAAAACTGCTTAGAGGAGATCAACATGCTAAGCTAAAGCTAGTTAGCTTTATCCGGTTGATAGTGGGAGTCTATTAAAGGCTAAAGTCTGCTTCATGTTCGGTCATTGCAGCTGTTAGAGTCTGAGTGGTTTATGGTTATCTCCTCTTTCTGTGTTTTCCTTTTTATTTTATAATAAGAAGAGGAGACGTGTTCACTGCGTCGGTATTTATTTTTATTCTTTAGCTCCGTCATCCTGACTTTACAGCCGCACATTCGCCAACCATCACCTCTCGCGGGGCTTCCGTACAAGCCCCTGAACCCTGTTGCATGCTGGGTAATGGAGTTTTAAAGCTTCCATGCTCATACCGTCACACTCCCCTCCACACGGACAGAATTTCCGCCTGGAGCCCCTTGAGCTGGACTCCAGGGTCGCGGGTTCGATCCCAGCAGATGCAAAGTTAGGTTTGAGGGAACAATGTTACCAAAATAAAGAAAGTTTAAGGAAGTAACTTGTGCTTTCTTACAAAAAATTAGAAAATATTATTTCGTTGAAAATAATTTGTCTCATATTTTATATTACAACGCAGCAAATTGTATTTGCTAAAACAAAGCTTTCCTTTTAAAGTTTTATTGATTAACATATTTATTTATTTTTGTTTTCTGATTCATTGGTATATAAAAATAAACATTTCCAATCATACTATGTAGTACCTAGATACATTTACTTTAATGTTATTAATCATATCCAGTCCTCAAACCATGTTTTTTTTAGTATGTATATTTTCTAAGGCATTTTTATAGTGAATTAATTATAAAGTTTTCCTTGTTTCTGCAGTTTTATTACGAATATTTCAGAATCAATAGCAACTGCTGCTTATTCACAGTAGAAGACCAAACACTGTATGTTTTAATGAACCAAATATTTATTTTCTAAAAAATGAAAAGACAGTGAATTAAACACAGTAACAAAAACAAGCACAATAAAGAAAAAGCAAATGAAATCCATTTCAACCATTGTTCTTTAGTGAGAGTCTCTACGGACAGTAAATCTGCCCTCTGCATCGGCTCTGCCCTGTTTCACTGATTCTGAACCGCCCGCATTTTGTTGCTGATATTATGCAAAACTTTGTGGGTCAGTTTTCAGGGTGCTCTGTTAGGATGAACGGAGGCTGCTCCTGGAACTGGACCAGGGGCCACAGGAGGGTTAAAAAGTGTTCAACCATTCATCCTAGTTAAATGAACAGAGATCAATGGATTTCACTCAGTCGGCACATTTATTCACATCTTTGCAAAGAGAGAACACTTCATCATACAGCCCTTTTATTTTATTTTATTTAGGTTGTTTATTTATTCTGCTCTCAATTATCAACCCAAATTCCACATGGACTGTTCCAGATGGAAAAATAAACAGCATCTATATGGATCCTTATTAGCTTAGCTTAGCTGATTTTCTCGTGTTTTATCTTCTTTCCACCCTTTTCTTCATCAGAACAAATAATAAATGTTCTGTTGAAGAAAAACCATAGAGTTTCAGTCATTTTAACCTCCAGATATATCTGAGCTATGGATTCATTGAGAATAGATCATTTAAAGCCTCCACCATTCATCTTAATGTAGGAATTAAATCCTGTTATCTAGATCCTCTGTCACTGTAATCATTATTATTAAATATTATCATCTTTATTTCCAATTGAGTGTTTTGAACACCATATAATTATCAACCAAAACTTATGTTAAATAAATTTGCATATTTATTCCAGATCAGCTTAAGATAGATTTACTTCTTAATGAATTGTCAATAATTTAAAAGCAAATTCAATCAGCCTAATTTATTTTTATACAAGTTATTTTGCTCTACACACATATAGATTTATTTACCCTTAAAGTTTAATCTAAATCTTAATTAATTAAGGTTAAGAAATTAAACTCTAGCATTTAAATAATGACACATGTCCTTGATTATTAGAAGAAATGCCCAATTAGCCTGCCCATCTTTACTGAACCTCTGGGTCAGTAAAGATGGGTCAACGGTAAAATAGCTGCTTTTCAGTCTATTTATCCGCAGGTACTTTAACTCTGGTCAATAAACAGCGAACCAGTTACTGTTCTGCTGGAAGCCAGCCTGGGATAATAGGGAGATCTCTCTGAAGACCTCGTCACCTCTGACCTAAGAATCAGAACATCTTATGGCGTATTCTGCTGCCGTCCCTCAAAAGAAGCCTTTATCAGGAAGGAAATGTCTCGTCAGTCGCCCCACTTCATCCTTCAGTCACTTTAAGTCACCTTTTCCTCTCACCACATACTTTTCTCATTTAATTTCACCTTATTTTATGCCCTACTTACTTTTTTTAAAATATAATTTAATAGTTTTTTTAGCTATGAGTTATTAATTCCTGTAAATGTTTAGAGATTTGTTTCTTTAAAAGCACCATTGAAAGTAAAATTCTTTATTATAACTTAGTATAGTGTAAGTTTAATATATAATACAGTGTAAATATGTTTAATATCAGGTTTAAAAACTGCCTTTTTGAATTCTTTAACCCATTTCTCTCTCATCCATCCATCATTTTAAACAGTTTCTTTTCTTTTTTTTTATCTGTAAATCTTCTTACCTAAGACCTTCTTTTTATCCTCTTAACTTCTCATCATAATGTTTTATCTTATCTTCAACATTTTTGTATTGCAACATTAAAAGAACCTTATTTTATAAGCATTTGATCAAAAATTTCTCCTTGGGCAGTTGACAATTCCCTGGAACCTTGCATTTGTTCTACTACGATAGAACTGCAAAACCTTTCCCATTATCTACAGGTAATTTACTGGTTTCCAATATGCACCCCATTCCTCTGGTGCCGACCTGGATAACTGGGGGGGATCCCACTCTAGATTACCGACGTCTCAGTAAAATGAAGTACCTTCTGGTGGCACCTACAACCTTCCTCTCACTCTTAGAGAGAGCCTCACGTTCCTATGCGAGGTCTTTTGGTTCACAGGTGGAACAAAAACAGAATTGCCTTTTGTGTCCCCAAAAGAAAAGTTATCTTTTATTTTCTATGTATATTGTTTAGTATTATACTAATTTTAGTGCATTAAAAAGATTAACCTATTAATCTTTAATTTATCTAGTTTCTTATTTTTTTGGTTTGTTTTTTTGTTAGATTACATTTAAGAAGAGGACTTTGTTTGAGCTAATTTTCCAGTATTTGATCTCTAGTAATCTTTAAATCTGTTAACAACCTGTTGTTTTGTAATTTAGTTTTTGAGATTTAATTTAAACTGAGCCGACAAAAGATGAATCTGACCGTCTCAAAAAAATGGTTAGTTTTGATCCTCCTGCTGACCTCCAGGGACCTCGATGTCAGAAGTCCTCAGTCCCTTAACCTTCTAACGGGGTATTGAGGCTGGAAGACTGCTTCCTCCAGGTGGTTCCTGACACTTCTGACAATCGCTGTCCTCAGAAAAAATCAGTCAAAGAGAATCGTGCTTTGACAACGCCAAATTGTCGTGGAAAAAAGCATTCAACCATTTATCCTAGTTAAATGAACAGAGATCGATGGATTTCACTCAGTCGGCACATTTATTAATATCTTTGCAAAGAGAGAACAGTTCATCATACAGCCCTAATGGCACAGCATTCTGCCCTGTTCTGCATGAGCAGCGTTCGTCCCCCTTTACTTAAAACAATGGGAACTAGGGGTGTAAATAATAATCGTTTTGTATTGATGGATCGATCCAAAAGCTGACGGTCCGATGCATCGACACGTCCGCAAGATAATCGATTCATGTTGTTTTTTTTCCTCCGGTCTATTTTTATCCATTTTCTCCTGGGCGTAATTCTCCTCCCATGCTGCGGTGGCGCTAAACCTATTTTGCCCTCCTACCGCGCTTCCTGGTTATACTCTTACAGCAGTGTGTTGCAGTGAGCTTGATGCAGACATTTTTAAATTATGCTCAATAATGAAGCGTGGTCTGTGCTACACACTGTGGGTCTAGATACGGCCGAGGCGGTGAGGAAGTGGGGGCGAGTTTAGTCCGACGACGGAGGGACATGAGGGCCAAAAAGAGCAGAGATCCAGCTGGAAAAAGGGGTCCCAGCGGTCTCGCGCACCTCGCTCTTCCAGCGGGTCAAACTTCACGAGTTGTTTTCCGCAATTTCGGTCATAAAAACAAAACAAGCCGGCCTCCTGTCTGCAGCACTGTTTGCGGTCAGCTACAATCTGGGAGAGGAGCAGCGGAGCATCTCTCTAGGGGGCGGTGACGTCGACACTCTGGAGCCTTCTTCTTCTTCTTTTTTTTAATGGCCGTTGGCAAACAACTTATAGGTGCATTACCGCCACCTTCCAGAATGGAGTATGGACCAGACAAACTATTATATTCTCCCTAAAATACCCGTTCTTCTTAGAAAATTAAAAATACTCCCAAAAACTACATCCCCAGATGACCTTTGAAACAATTCCCTTATATCTAGTTTATTTTTATTCCTGTCTAACTCTCTACACAACATCTCTCTTTCCCGAGTATATTTATTACATTCTAAAAAAATATGTTGGACAGTTTCTTTGGAGCCGAGGTATTGCATTGAACTCATTACACTGATATTGTGCAGTATTTTTTTATGCCACTTTTCTACTTCTGTTATTTGCTGTTGTTTCTAAAAAAAATGCATAACAATATTACAGCTTTCATGGATTTATTTCAAACTTGAAACTTTGTTTAGCCTGTAAGGTGTTAAAAAAAAATAATAATTGTATCGCATTGTGGTGTATTCTTGAGTATCGAAAATAATCTAATTGTTGTGTCAGGAATCGAATCGCCATGATGGATGTGATTTACACCCCTACTGGAAACGTAGTCAGACGCTTTGGTTAAACGGTAACATGTTATGAATAAACCTTGAGAAAGAATCTGGATTGTTATGGGAAGAAGCTATGTCTGGTCTACAAACACCATCC